CAGCCTGCGTCTTGTTGTAGTGACAATTGCGAGCGTGGATGGTGGGTTATTTTAACTGAAAGTATCGTTCGTGGCCATTTTGGTCTCAAGGACGATACCCATCTTTTGCCCACCCGCCCACTCCTGGGTATCTTCTGCCCACTTGAGTTTGTCCAAGGGCCCTATCGGCTCCTTTTGGACATAGCAAGCGGAGCGACCTTTACGACCAACTGTTGAAAAGTCCGTCTGCTTCGCTTAGTAGATGGTGGTTGTTTGGGGAGCGGATAGCAATTGTCCTGGGATCCACGCTCGAGTTGAGATTGGAAGCTCAGCCTTCGGTGCGCGGTGCTTCGAGCTTTCAGGTTGCTTTGACGAGTGTGAGCAGTTGATGGACCAGGCTTGACACGCAGCGAAAAAAAGCGTAGGTGCTTCGGAGCAGGCTTTCAGTAAACTTGATGCGACAGTTACATTCCACACCCTGAGCAGAGCAGCTCACGGAAAGAGTTCCAGGTGGCCAGAATGAGAGACTGAACGATTTTTCCCTGCAGCGTTGGCAGGTGGAAGAAGGACTCGAGGCACCAATGGGCACCTTGGCATTCTAGGAGCTGCCTTGCTTTTGATGTTCCCTTCGGGGGGTCAGAAACAGTCGCTTCGAGTTCGTGGGGGTGGCTTTTGACAGTTTCGGAACTGACCCGCTGTGTCCTAATACATGGAAGCTGACACAAGAAGCCCGTGTGCAGTTAGGATAGTTAGTCGGAGTCGACTAACTGAGATGTCTCAGGCACTCCGGAGAAGATCGCATCGCTGGCCGGATTGCTCAGCAATCTCCCACACTTTGGCAGCTTCGGCAACTCCCTGCCCAGTTAAGGTCTCCGGACTGCCTTCCTCTTCGCAGCCCGCTAATCGGACGCGACCAGCCAGCATCTCCTTAACGGAGTTCAGTAGCCCAGAAGCTTCGCAGTCAGCTTGACAGGTTGATAGGAAAGGGAAAGGCGGCAGGCAAGGCGGTCGACGCTCAAGAAAAGCTTGCGCGCTGTGAACGGAGACTGCGCGTGAACCCTCATCCTGCAGCCTAAGTGCTGTCGTCAGAGTCCTTAGATGAAAGGAGCTCCCGCTCCATCTTTGCTCCGTCTAAGGCTCTCACCTCACCTCACCCAGCTGCTCGATGAGGTGGCCGGCCACCACGGTGGCATGGTGCCTCCGTCCGTTATGTCTCAGACTGGATCAGAGTTGAACGGCGCTTGAATCAGACTGTGTGAGAACTCGTGGGCTTACGCTGTGTAGATTTGTCGTGGCTCTGCATCTACGCCCGTGACACTCCGAGTTATCTCTTCCAGGCCGCTCCATCCGCTCCCTGCCCTGCTTGCCTACGAGCATTCATAATGTCAAGACCTCTCTGATGGCCTGTCCTTTCTCAAAGCAGTGTTTGAGGGCTCATGTGCATTGTGGCGTGCTTTGGCGTCCAGTGCTGGTGGTTTCTATGCTCCTGGTCCTGTTGTGAAGCAGTTATGCACCTAGGTGCCAATTCATGGCCGCCTCTTCGCCCAGTGGATGCATGAGGCTTATCCACGCGAGTGGCGGACTTACGATGAGATGCCGCACAGGTAAGCGGGAAGGTCCGGCTGCATTGGTTTGCAGCACCGACACCGAGGTGCAGCTACCCGCACCTGGAAGTGAAGGTCCAGAGTCGTGCCTTGAATCAAGTTTTGAGGCATACCTGGCGGCACCTTGCTTCGCTAATTATGTACACGATCGTAGACAAGAGCCGAAGTCGTGTGACATGCACTTCAAGGCTTTGATCATTCTCCAGACATGGATCACGTGGAGGCGGGGTTCTGCTGCAAGCTACAAATTATGGAGTTGTGTTCGTCAGTGAGCTAGCTTGATGTTCTCCCAACCCGTAGCCAAAGGCCACATCATGAATCCATCCCAATCCGAGTTCTGAAATCCCTGGACCGCCCTTTGCCAAGGCCGAAGAGAAGTCCAAATACTGGTGCCTCGCTCTGAATGATAGGTGCCCCATGTATAAGAACGGTGCGCAAGACGTGTTCAAGTCTGACGATGGCAACGGTTCCTTCCATGTATCGCCAGCAAATACGTCAAGTGTCTGCAGTGAGGCAAATTGCCAAGCAGCGTGAAGGCAGTGGCGAGAACCAAACCACTTCTCGATGGATCATGAAGGAGGCCTTCATCAGATGTCGTTGGAGCTCACTGTGAAAATGTTGAAGAGAGGATCCGACTCTTTTGGATGCAGAAGCCTACTAATCGCAAGTCGGATGATTTCGGTACGAAGTTGGTAACAGTCGAAGAACTGATCCCCACCTGCATGGAATCGTTTGCGAAGACTGGATCACGAAGCTGCGACGGGGTGTGGATGTTTCTCGACCTTGCGAATCGAGAGCTGGGCATTCAGAGATTAGAGCTGCGATTTCGACGGCAGCAGCTGTTCAGGAGTTGGTGGATCAGCAGGGCTTCGAGGCTCACGTAAAGTCGATGCTGGGCAGCAGAACGTTACAATCTAGTTTCCAGCCAGCCCTTGCCCCTGAACGAGTGAAGTGCTTGTAATACTGCCGTCAAAGCAACCAGGAGGTGAGAACTTCCAGCCTTCCAGCCAACCCTCTGGTTTCCAGACGGAGCTTCAGCCTTGAGTCCTCCTCAAATTCAACTAGCTTCGGATCAGCCCAGGACAGCATCCCTGGGGTTGTCTGCGTTGATTGATCCCTCCTGCGACCAAACGTCTTCATGTCATCCGAGCAGGGCAAGTGAGTAGCCCGAAATACCCTGGAACTGTTCTACGACGAGGGGCTATAGGCACAGTAAGTGGGCTGTATGTACGCAGTGAAATGCCATTGCGTGCCCGCGGTGCAAACTCCAGAAAGACAGATGCGCGGAAGCTTTCGACGGGGGCCTTGGACGAGCTGAGGAGCACGCGAGACGATTTGACCATCTTCGGCGCTCTCGGTCGCTTGCACTTGCACAGAGCGACAGCATAGTGATGAGCAGCAGAATGCCACGCGCCACGATTCGCTGAGGCTTCATTGGGATGGCAGTGGTTCGGCATGTCGCCCCGGCATTGAGGCCAAGTCGATAGGAGGTGGTCAGAGTTTCTTGGGACTTTCGTGCTGACGTATGTAGGCATCAGCCAGATTCTTGCTCAGAGGGCTTCACGGGAGTCGGCAAGTCACTGCAAGTCGTAAGGTCCTAACAGAGTTCCAGGGCATCTATGTCCTGTCAAGCAACAACTTGGATGTGTTTGATCAGGCAGGACAAGCAGAAGGACCTGTGAGAAGGTCGCTCGAGGAAGGCATATGGAGGCAACATGTCTTGACATGTGTGCGAAACGTTTGACGACCCTGCGACTGTGAGCATGACTTGGGTTGCTTTCGCGCCGTGGCCTGTCCAAGACAACGTCGCCAGCCATAGTTTGCACAGGTAACGAAGTTGTTTTGTCGGAACTTGCTCATGGCTCTTCAGCAGATGTTGTTGCATTTTACCAGCTGCTATGGCTATGGCCGAAACTAAGATAGGACGGCAGCGGCTTCAGCCCGGCAAGCGATCGTGCTTGCACCGGTCTCACTGAAGTCACATGGTGCAGACTCACAGACAAAATGGCCGGCAGCCTCACTCCAAAGCACTCGCACCCAATTCTGACGGCGGCAGAAACCTACAGAAACCGCTTTGACATGAGGCCTGTGGAGCCGGCGGCCTTGAGGATCCGAACGTGGATCCCCCGGATTCCGTTTATTCGTTCCAGTGCCTTTTTCGGTTGCCATGTTGACTTTCTTGTGAACTTCAGGTGCTTGATTGCGGTTTCTTGTAACCTCCCCCCACATTCGACAACAGCGAGACTCCAACCTCGTTTGGTAACATTCCCCGTATGCAACAATTGCAAAAGAGTGTCAGTAAGTTGACCTCAGATCTTCAAAATCGGCTTCTGCCAGATGCAAGGTACTTGCTGGCCTTGGCAAATCGAACGAGGACGCGTGTGTTTACAAGGCGCGGACGCATCTGGTTCGTGATTGCTGCGGCCGGCAGCTGACGGCACTGGTTGCGCGATTCAATCTTCGACTGACGACGAGACTTTGCGACGGTGGACTCAGGCAGTCCTGAGTGCAGTACCGCCAGAAAGAGCATGAGAGTCTTTGCGATTCAAGTCCGTGTCTCTTCCTCAGCGTCAGGTCAGCGATGACATTGCCGTCGTTGGCACTCTGGACTTTTTTACGCCCATTGTGGACGAGCCCGAGGCACCGGCGTGCAGATGTTTCGAATGCGCAGAGTCAGACAGAAGAAGGCTTCTCTTTCAGAGCCATCATTGAACGAAGATTCAGGAGATTGCTGCAGCCGTACGTGGTAAGAAGGATCCTGCTGACAGGTCTTCGGCGGCATCGCCGCGGCCAATGCCCTTTCAGATGTGTGCTCCAGCTTCCTTGCTCTAGCAGGGCGGAGGTTCTTGTGCCATGGTCCATGGTGCGATTTCGAGAGTCTGCCGTCCAGGCTCAACGCTTTGCTACAGCTTTGCATTAAGTTGTTCCTAGTAGTTCACTCGATTTCACTCGTATGGGTAGTGTACCAGGAAGTAGACTGGATAAAGGAACAAAGTCTGGGCGACTGGGTGCAGGTACGCCATGGGTGCCAAGCCCATCTTCGCTCTGAATATTGCCCGTGCCTTGGAAGATGATCCGGCTATGTTAGGGCACGGCGATCGGGGAGACCCTCAACTGCAGAGCTTCCACCTTTACTGTCAAACTAAACGCCTGAAAAGCCTTGAGCCGTAGTACCCTTCCCCAGGCCTTGGGCCGTTCAGAGCCTCCGCGTACACCGCAGGTTGGCTTTCCCTCGAATCGGCTTCCACCGTCCGTTCTGGCAAGGCCACCTCCCGGGCTCTTCTTGTGGACCGTGAGACCTGTTGCTCGGCTCCTTTCCATTTGAGAGGGCTGAGGGAACCTTTAAACCCTAACCCCTGGCTCAAGCTTGAGTTCAAGCGTCTTGGTAGCTCCTTCTGGTGAAGCTTGCAAAACCCAATGTTGTCCGTGGCCTCCATGTTGCGCACAACTTCTCTATTCTTCCTCGTGGGATCCTGGCCATGCTGGGCAGCCCGAATTCAATCCACGGAGTCGACGCAGTTCGGCCCGTATCCCCTCTACGATGACAGCAGCTCAGACGGCTCAGTGAGCTCGGACTCGGACGATGGCATGCCGAGCTTTCGCCGTCCCTTCCACGTGATGCAGAAAATCGCAATCATCGGGGGCGGGCCTGGGGGGATCCACATGGCTAGCCGCTTGAAGCAGCTTGGGTACAAAAAGGTCACAGTCCTCGAACGCACGGACCGTGTTGGTGGCAAGTCCTTGACGCTGTACCGCAACAAAGAAGGCAGCTGCGTCCAGGAGAAGGACGACGAGACTGACACGATTGACACAAAATCGTGTGTTGCCTTTGAAATGGGCACCTGCTTTCTGCACAACGGCTACCACACTATCTATGATCTTGTGGACGAGTACGGCTTGCCGAAGACGGTGGCACCGGAGGGCCGCGCCATGTTTTCGCACTTTACGGATCACTTGCATGCTTTGCCGATGGAGAAGTTCGTGAGCAGTTCGATCCTAGAAGCAATCGCAGAAGGCAAGATCAAGGTACCCATTTGGGCTATTACGGAAGGCTGGAAAGTGATGTACTCGCTGCTCCACGCCGTGAACGCATACAACAAGATGCATAAGGAGATTTTCGGAGAGATCGAATTTTCTATGCCAGCACCACTTTCTGACGAGAATCTCCAGCGGATCAACATGACCTTCCTGGAGTACCTTGAAAGCAACGACTTGCATGCTCTGGCAGGCTTCCTGATGTTTGCGCATGCAGCTCAAGGATATGGCTATGTGAAAACAATCCCTGCCTTTTATGGGCTCTGGTGGATCAGCCCAGAGTTGCTGAATGGGTACGTTCAGATGAGCTTCCGCGAGAAGTTGGAGAAATACCTGAACCCGAATTGCAAGTTCTACCAGTACGTGCGGGGCCTTTGGGTGGACGCCGTTGTATCGCTCGCAGTCGGAGGCCGTGCTGACCCCGTGAAGCGGACGACCCACATGCTGCCCGAAGGGTATCAAAAGATTTGGACAACCATGGCTGAGCGCGATGGAATCGACGTCCGATTTGGTGTGCAGATTCAATCCATCGATCGCCAGCTGCACGATGATTTCGCTCCCGTCCTCATCAAGTACACCCAAGACTCGCCGGAAGTTATCGAGGAGGAGTACGACTTCCTCATCTACTCTGCACCCTTTGCCCATTCGCACAAGTACGTCAAGGACTTGGTGGAGAAAGAGACGTCCATCTTCAACCGTCTGGAGAGCTTAAATTTGTGTTGGCCACGACGCTCTACACCAGCAGTCCGGTTCTCGATTACTCGGACGAGACGCATGCGCCGATCATGTACAGTGCCGACAAGATGAGCGGGCCAGACCAGGACGGGTCTTGGTACGCTGATCGCGACGACCCAGCCATCTTTGCGGGCGAATGGGACGAGGATAAGCAGACGCGCGTGGGATATCAATTCTTCGAGAATTTCTGCGATGCGGACCCGGTGCTCTGTGACACGGACCGGACGCCGGACCACAACTTTGAGATGAAGAAAGCTCCGAAGGTTCTCAAGAGGTTCAACGAGGAGATGAAGAAGCAGCAGGTCGCAAATGTCAAAGTCTTGCGCCAGTATCCATGGCCCTACTTCCACCATTTCCCGCAAGCTGCCATCAATGAGAAAATCCCTTGGAAGCTCTTTGAGATGCAAGGAGAGCGAAAGACCTGGTGGATTGGTGCCAGTGCCTGCTTCGAGTCTGTGCACGACGTGACGAATTACAACTTGATGTTGCTGAAATCCTATCTGCGGGCCGATGTTGAGAAGGGCAAGGTCAGCTTCAGCTACGCCTGATCCCGGACGGAGGTCGAACCCCAAGTGCCATTCGGGCGCCAGCTTAGCTTCTTTGGTAATTATAGGTTCTAGAGTCTTAGACACTGCTAGCAGCTAGACCCCTGTGTACATTCCACATCCGCTCAGGGGGGGCTGGCAGACTTGTTTAGTGTATCACTAGCTCGAGCGATGCGCGTGATGCAAAAAAAGACGTCTGCGCCCCAGATTGTATTTCAGTATTAGCTCTGGTCTTGCGGGTTCAGTGCAGATGTCCCTGTAGCAAGCCCTCTTTCACTCCGTCGCCCTGAAATCCGCGCCTGCTTTGCGAGTGTGTGTGTCGAAACCGCTGGTAAGATTTTGTGCTGCCACTGTGACGGTCACGGGGCAGCTCTGCGCGAGATGCTGTTGTCTCATATCTTCGCCGGATGTAGCCGCGGGTGTCAAGAGCGACTTTGGATGGTTTTCGAGCAGTCTTGGGCTCGATGAAGTGCTTTCTGCGACCTTTGGCAGGATTCTGAAAGGAGGTCCGACGCCTCAGCTTTCCAACGGTACGACAGGTAGGACCGGGCATAGGAAAGAGGGAGGCTTCGTTGAACGTGCTTGTGACTGCATCAATCGAACTGCCCCTCCGTTTGTGCTTAAGCTACCTAACATGCCAATGTGGTGACATTTCTGATGTTAGAGAAACTGCCACGAACAGAGTCGACGTAGTGGACTTCAATCTTGCTGCATCGTAGCAACAGGTCATTTAGACTGCAGCCGGCTGAAGCTAACATGCCTTTCAGCTGTGCGCAGCGAAAACGACTGTGTAAGCGGCGCACGCTCAAAGTAGTTTGGACAGTCGCTCACTTCAAAATTCTTGCCTCTCCAATTGGCAGCCGCAATGCAACTCGACCAGCTGCTCGAATCGCAGACGTCCTGGCTCTTCAGAGACTCTGCCGGAATTGCAACTAAGTGCAAGCTGCGCCCGAGATTGTGCTGGTTACAGGGGGTTCGGTGTCACGAAGCCACTCATGACACACATTCACATCTGGCATTGGCTACTGAGGACCGGAAGGCTTGGCAGACGCACGGGCGCTGAATGCACCCCGCCACAAAAGAGTAGCGGACCCATGTCGCTCCCGCCTAGTTCTGTAGATCACCATGAATACTTCATCGAGCAGCCCCATGGCCTGTCAAAAAATATTGCAGACCATCTGCAGTGCCGAGGTTGCCATGCGCACCCCCTCCTTCAGCAACATGCATTTGAAAGGGGCTGAGACTTAGATGCATTGACAGAGGCGTAAGCATAAAGACTGAGGACCTCAGCGAAGTTGGCGTGGTGAATTCGTGACAGTCATAAGAAAGCCATTGGCTGGAGTCTGTAAATGTGTGGGCGGATGAGTTACCATCTGACATGTAGATTCAGTGCAATCGAGAACGACGACAGAGCACGGCACCAGCAACCGAGGACTGGTTTCTGCTGGGCAGCCAGCTCCTCCTGCAAGTCGCAGAATTCTTGCTTGAGCGACTCTTGGCTTGATGGCGCGATGCATGCGATCTCTGGCCTAGTCTTCTTGATTGGGACGTGTGAGCCGCCGAAGTCAGAGCGAGAGATTCAGACGAGGATTACCGACGGTACCGGAGCAGTATCCCAGCATCGCAGCAGCGCTGCTTGGCTCGCTTCGCAAGAGTGACTTTCCCCATATGATCGGGCTGGGGTCTAAGGATAGCAGCGGGCTGCGACCACATCGCCGTTGATCCATCGTACCACGTGCCTTGGCAGGGATCCCTGGGAGCAAGGCATCAGTGACCCCAAACCTTTGCGGAAGTGCAGCTAGATGACCTTGCATGAGTATGACGGCCGACGTTTAGGATTGATGTGTCCAGGCAGGTTATCTCCCGATGAAGCTTTTCTCAGAAACATGTGGTGGTGGGCCTGGAGTTCACGCAAGGCCATCATAAACCCATTTCGGCTGATGTGAGGGCATGGATTCGCCTCAACTTCTCAAATGCTTCATGTTTTCGCTTCGTGCTTGGTGTGAACCGAGGACGTTCGCAGCCTTGAAATCCGTACCCCATTGCGCTTGGTCTCCCGTGGGGCCATGCTGCAAGGATGTGCAGCTCACCCAGCAGTCAAACCAGCGCAAGACATGTCAATTCGTCGTCCATACAGACTGCAGAATGCAGAGCAAACGCACAGCAGATGCATGCAGATGTCTGACTGAGATCACCGTAATGGGTGCCCCACTGGAGATGGACGGCGTGGTGCTGACTGGCCCAGGCTCCAACGGTGGGTGATTTCGGTAGCAAGTTGAACCCATGTGCTGAGTACCCCCAGTTAGTCGAGCGATGATGGCTTGCTGATGTCGGAGCGACTAGAGCAGCTTTGAGCATGAGTACTACAGGAGTGACCGGTGGCAGCTCGTGGCAAGTTGCAACTCTGGCAGCTTTGGCAGGCACAGGTTTGATAGCTCGCTCCGGGGCCAACGTCCGCCTCAAGAACTGCAGAGTCGAAGGCTGGTGCCGGAGCATCTCAAAGGATCTCGTTCTGCTCGCGGAATTTAAAAGTCATGCCTCTTCTGGAGAAGCTAGAGTGCGGGAGCGTCCCGAAGACGCAAGAACCCAAACCTGCCCAACGTGCAGGCAAGACCTTCCACGGCATCATTGTGGATCAGGGCGCAGATTGCGAGCTGATCGAGCCACAGCTGAGAATGCACTACAACAGAGTTGATGCTATTGCTGGTGCTTTCGAGGGTATCTCGCCGTGTTGGGCACCGAGGATTCGGTGATTCGCAACAACGTAAGGGCCTTGGACGAGATTTGTGCTCATCGTGCAGATCCAGAATGGTGAAGCCAAGTCAATGCCAAGTTGTTCTTGTCTGAATCCTCTTGAGGCTCTGCGAGGGCTTCTAGTGCCCCTTGGCTAAGTGGAGGACGTTCGCTTGAAAAAGCTCGGAAGTGACATACCTCTGGGACAAGACACCGAAAGTGTACTCGACCTACGCACTGTCCGGGGCTCGAGGCCCTCGCATGTTTGAGGCCAAGTTGCATCTCAGCTCAGGCTGGGGCAGGTCTACCAGACGGGGACCATCATAAGAAGCTCGGCTTCCCATATGATACCATTTATAGTTGCACCGCTTGAGTCCATTCCTTTTTTTGCATCACGAAGGCGAGAATGGCATCGACCCCAATGAAAAAGACTCGCACTTCCTCTACCCTCGCCGGTGCGTCGTGAGCTGGTAAGTCTGGTAGCCGTCAGACTGTGGTGCAGACAGCGAAAGCAGGCTCTGCACAGCAGGGACTCCCCGTATCTGTCGCGACTTTCCAAATCCGGGTCCTGGATTGAGTGGGTTCGACAAATGAATAAGTTCATGCAACAGCAATAAATATTCGTTTGCTCACATTTTCTTTGGTCAGCCGACAGCTGCATGCAGGCTGCAGACCCGTCGCAAGTATTTTCCTTCTTCCCAGCAGACACAAAGAGGGGTCTGTATTGAGATTTTCCAAAATTTTCAGGCAGGCCCCTGTGGCCAAAGGCAACTGGGGGCCATGCAGGCAGCATGGCATCATGAATTCATTCACAAAAAGGTCTCCTCTGGTCCATCAATTCTTGCGTGGTCACAGAGAGCTCTTGGAATTCCAACAGTTTTTCAGGTCAGGAGAAGTGCGCTGAGGCTGGCGTAGCCATCCTCGGTGCGAAGCTTGGACAACGCTTGCCTTCGTCCGGCCACGGAGCTCCGCCGCGACCCTGATGCTCAGGCGGCCACACTGTCGAGGACCTGGAGCCCAAGTATGGGCTTGCTGTAATTGGCTCCTCAGCGCACAAGAAGATCCCTTGCCCTTCATGTGAAACGGGTCAAACGACACGAACACTTTTGCGAAACGAAGGGCCCCAGTCCCGAGATTTGCCGAGCCTTTCAGCCGCAAGGTGTTGTGCATCCAGACAAGGCGCGGTGGCGGTGGCTTTGCTGCTTGATTTGGCTTGCATGTCTGGGAAGGGCTTCATCTGGGTTTGCGAAATGGTTCGGAATGATGAATGATCGTCGTTCGGCGAGATGTCTCGTTCCTGCTACTTTCCTGGATTCCAGGTGTGGTAACAGGAGCTAGTGAATCATTTCCTTACCGCATTTGCTCATGCCTTTGTCGCATTGCCGGCAGCCCTTGACTTAGTGTCTTCCTGCTCCGAAAAAACACGAAGACTTTACAGGTGTGGCGGAACAATTCACTGCAAGCTGGGGACCGCCTCATCCTGACCAAGCCGTTGGGCTCTCAAGAACAAGATCGCACTGTACACTGCAGGGCGCGTCCTCTGCCATGCAGCTGCAACGACAGGAATTTTCCAGCTGCGTGCTGCACTGAGGATCGGCACGGGCATTCTGGGGACGGCGCAGAAAAAAGGCAGCTTCCTCGGAGCAGCTTTCAGAAAAGTTCAGCCATGTCGAAGCTTCCGGGATAGATCAGAGGCGTGTAATCTCGGGCTCAAAGCCTTGCAAGACTTGTCTGTGTCGCAACAGGCCTGCAAGCTTTGTGCTTTGGTGTGCTCCTTGATCTTCCACAATATTGGCCCTGGTAGTGTCCAACCACAACCCCTCTACCCTTCTACATGGGGAGGGATTCTCGAAGTCGTGCCGCTGAGCTGGGAGACAGGTTGCGTCGAGACCTGACTCAGCAATGGGGTCTTAGAGATTGGTATCCTGAGGAATCTTGAGTGACGAAGCTCGAGATTGTCTTCAGAAGACATTGCTGCAGCCTTACCGTAGCCTTCCGCTTCGAGTCATAGAATGCCGCCACTTCGGCAAGGAAATGGAACGAAGCCACAGTTCAAGAATGCACTTCAAGCCAAGAACTTTGTTTGCAACACATGTATGTAAGTTTCCTACGACCGCACGAATCTGCAGCGTTGCTGGTCGGCTCTAGACTCTGGCCACATGAGTTCAACCCAGAAGTAGCCACCTGAAGCTTAATCCGAAGCTGAAGAGCACCACTACGGCAGATTCGGCAGCTCAGAAGCAGGATTTTGCGAGAAGCCCACCTTGACTTAAGGGCTACTACTCAATTCAGCAGCTTTAATGACACTCTACCGGCAAGCTTGCGCATGAGATACTCCCGCTTGTTCGTTGCAGCATGGTACGACACGAGATGAAAGTTGCCGTATGTCCATTCCGGATGCCTGGTTCAGGTTGCAGCTGAATCGATCCGCAGCGGAAGTTGCACGAGCAACAACGCAGGCATAGCGTTGACCAACTGAGTTCATGGTTCCCAATGTTGGCCGATGGTATAGAGTTGATAGCTCCCAGGCTCACATGCTGAGAAGCAGGTACATGCTGCAACGGATGTCACAGGCTTCGGCTTGCCCGGAGCTTGGCCCATCAGTGCTCGTTCGATCACAGTCCCAACATTTGTCATGGGCCTCGCAGGCTTGGCCACCTCCGCGAGATGTTGACTTCCGATGACGGCAGCGAGCCGCCCGCCAAGAAGGCCAGGGACTGTCATGCATAGTTGTTGTACCAGTAGCGATTGAGCCACTTATGTGGGCAGTTTGAAGCTTTCTTACCACCGGCTCATCTCAAGACGCTTCGCAGGCCCGAGTCACAACCGGCCCGAGCTGCGGTCTCGGAGTGTGGGTTCTGGTGAAATCTTCTCTTGCAAGATCTCATCAGCACAGTCAGCGGTTTTATGACTGGAGGCGAAAGACTTGGAGCTGTGCTTTCAGCTGGGGTTCGGTTCTCAGTTAAAGCTTCTGCCGCGTCCTAGGACCTGGCCCTTGCCAGCTTTGCTCACCTGTGCTGCATTTGAGGCCGTGCCGCTTCTTCCTCAGGCCAGGCCTAAGGGCCCAAGCAATCTGAACTCTGAACTCTCTTAAGCTTGGGGAGTGCTTGGGGTCTTCTTTGCGCGGCCCGACGACCCGGCAGAGGCGAAGGAGCTGGCGGTGGACGAGCAATGTGCCAAGCACTTGGACTCGCGAGCAGGAGATGCAGCGAGACACTCAAAGCGCCTGTTTGCTTATTTCTTCCAGGTTCCTGGTGGTTCGGTGAACAACCTGAAGCTGGTTCAGACTGGAGGCCTCACACGCATCGCGCAGGCGGGGCGCTGAAATTGATGTGCAGCGTCTTGACACTTCGGTGCCGTCGCCAGGGCGTGTCCAAGCAGATGCAGCTGTTGCTTGCCGACGTCCCCGGCTTGATGGACTGTTGAAGAGCGGATTTCCCCCGACAATGTCTGGCTCGGCAAGGCACAGACATCAGGTGGTCTGCTGCTGGCAACAGTCTCGGAAGTTGAGAGAGCCATCAGTTGGCTGTGCAGAGAGGACAGCGAGATACAAAGAGTGTCAGTATGATCTTATAGTGAGGCCTTGAGTCCAACTCTCCAAGACCGACTCAAACCAATGTCGCTGCAGCGGATCCGAGGCGGTTCCGCGGGCAGACTCGGAGAAAGTTGTGGTGCCGTGCTCAATGCAGAGGGGAGGGTCACAGCAGCCCAACCTCTCGTTTGCTTGGGCTGAGGCCGCCCTTCGCCAGGCACGATGCCGCTGTGGTGGCGCTTGTCCGGAAAGTCAGCTTGACGACCAAAGCTGTTCAACTATGTCCAGTTATTGAAACGAACATATTGATGCACTCGCACCCGACCACTCTGAGCTTGAGTGCCAAACGAGAAATCAGTCCTGAGAGCTCGTATAGGCTGCGCACGACCAAAAGAAGCATCGGTCATGCCCCAAAGGACAGTGGCCCGGGTGACCCTTGCTGATATGCATCTGGCCAGAAATTTGCTTCCACCGCCTCTCTCTCGTTTCTGATCTGTCTGAAACCATTGATTGCATGGCAGGCCGGTTTGTCGACCACAGCGTCGATTGGCGAGGCTCGCGGGAAAACATTCGGAGCACAGAATTCACCCGTCTGCCTGCGCAGATTCGACGTTTGGCAGAACCCAGCGCCCCCTTGATACAGGCGCAGGCCCCAGGCAAAAAAGAACTGATAATCGAGCATCATTTTGGATTTTTGCTGGGAGCTGTGGTGCTGAAGCAGGAAATCGCCCAAAACTCTCCGCCATGCCCACGGATCTCCAATCTCGGTCCTGCTTCATGGTTTTGCACGGCCCAGCAAGATTACATCCGTGAGAATCTAGAATCTAAACATCCCGATCCCCATAAGCCGGCGCTTGTTGACATTTCTCTGAGGTGGATCGATGAGAAGACTGCAATCTGTTCCGGCCAGAAGTGTCGAGAAAACAACTGCCTGATAGTCTGCTGTCAGGCTTGTTCCGAGGATATTGTGTTCACAATGTGAGCAAGCAGGGCGTTGATGAGTGCCATGCGTCGCAGCTTCTTTTGGATGACAGAGGGTACCATGGACCTCACATTGACATGCCGACCGTCTAAGCTGTAGAAGGCAAAAGCAGTGACTTGAGAAACCGGCTCGGGCTCCTTTCGATCCTTCGACAAGTCGGATCTGCAACATGCCTGTGCTACTGTTTAGGTGCAAGAGCTGAAAAGCTGTTCACGAACAGAAGGGATTCAACCTTTCGATGTGTACAAATCATGCTTCGCTTACTGGTCTGCCTGGTGTCTCACGCGCTGGCAGCTCGCTCGCATATCAGACTCTGAAATGGTAGAAAAGACCCCTCAGCCGATGCACAAGAGTCAGACCCGCTCAGGCTGGGCCACTGATCTTAGAGTCGGCATCTCACACCAAGTTCTGTCTCTTAAACGAGTTGGCTTCCGTTGTGATGTCTTTCTGCTGAGGCCAGACTTTGAGTTGGTTTCGTTTACACCGGAGGCCTGTGGAGAGACTCACGCACAAGCTGCAGGATCATGAGCAGCTAGGGCAGATGCGAAAACCTGTCCAGCGAGGATGTGCAACAAGGGTACTGGTAGCATCAGCATTTGCCAACACGCACGGTTGGTTCTAGAACTTTTTTGGTGAGGGTTGCCTCGCTGCAGGATGGGAAAATCTTGACCGGACGCCAGGCAAGACCAGGGAACGTTGCATATTGGGTGAGGCTTCTATGCCTCGTGTGGGATCTCAGCGGAAGCCCGTGTCGTGGGAGCCAAGGCTCGAACAGAAGGTAGTCCCAGCTGAATCCAAGTGCTTGCCCTCACTGTGCCAGGCGCTTACGGCAGTTTTCAGCCTGGCTGCCGGTGGCTTAAGTAGCGTTTGCGGTTAGTCGTGCACTTGGGATTGACGCGAGTCAGGAACAGCGGGTCTGAAGGGGTTGTGTGCCCTTGGCAAAGTAGCTCCTGCCCTGCATTGCATGAGATTGCATACTAACACCAGCATGCTGCGTGACTACTTGGCCAAAAGTGCTCCATTGTGATCAACATGCGTTTCTGTTCTTAGCGCCAGTTGTTGTGCTTTTCTTTGCCTTCAATCGGCCAATTTTGACATCTTTAGAGGTCGCGATTACTAGTGTCACGGACAAGTGGTTCGTGCAAGTTAGATGGCACGGCATCGAGCTGTCGGCAAGCACCAGTTGCGACATCCCACAGCGGTTTGTGTTCTCCGAGGTGCTGCCTTTGGGCGCTGATTTTGGCGACGGGCCACCCCCGGAGGAGCTGCAAGACCGCTCATTTTTGTCACGGTCGGACACGCACCGGGGAAAACTACCTATGGAACATCCCGAAAACAGTCATGGGAGGAGCTAGTGCCCTTTGTTCTGGAGGCGCACATGCAGATTGCAGCATGGGGATGGCACTGGGCGTGCGGGCAGGTATACGCGGCTGATGTCAACCGTAAGTCTTAAGCCTTCATTCTGATTTTTCTTCACTGGGTCTAAGAGATGATAAGAGGAGGAGGATTAGTTGTTTTGCCCTGGGTCAAGCTCTCATTCTTGGAATTGACTTCGCACCAAATGCTGAGGGTGCGGAAGTCCCTGGCAAGTTGAGATGGGTGAGCTCCAGCATCGCAAGTGCAGGGCCCAGCTCGCTGTCTGCAGCTGAACTGAACTCTGTGACGGTGTCACGCAGCTTTCAATACATTTCAACATCGCACTTCTCCAGCTTTCAATGCACTTCCACCTCACACGTCTCCAAGTCTGCTTTGTTACTTCCCAGGATTTGATCCGTCTGTGGATTGGCCGACGGATTTGCAGGCCTGTATTGGGTGACCAGGATGGCGCACTTTGCAGACGTGAGCTTGTTTACTTCAGTTTTCTGTTGCATGCAATGTCCTGTGTGGCATTTGACCTGCTCCGCGTCGGAGAGAGAGGGGCTTGGGCTCAAACAGAGATCCTTTGCCCCGGAGCAAACGCGCATGGACTCCAGACTTTCACAGTTCTCGGAGGATGGTCTCACAAGATCCGTGTCCGCACCATGCTTAGGGCTAAGTGGTGGGGCGGGCGCTGCGGGCGGCCTGGATGCGCCGCTGGGGCATTTCAAGCTTCCCTTCCAACGCCTCCCTCGCGAGGGGCCGCAGTCAGGGGGCGGCCGCCTCCGGCGCCTTGCCTCGGATCCGGTACTGGAGCACTTCCGTGCTGTCGCTAGCGAAAGCAATGGCACCGAGCACTTCGGCACACATGGCCCTTTCAGTGAATGCTCCCGGTCCCACCTCGCTCGCCCACACACGGTGCCCAGTTGGCTCTCTTCAGAAAAAGGATCTGACTCGGAGGTGTGGGAGCCACGAAACTGGGGGCCAAGCGAAAAGCAGCAGCAGGCAAAGCGCGGCTTGTTGGCCAGGAGGAAGAAGACGCAGGCACTGCGCGAACGTGACCAGAGGCGCATCCAGTTCATGGTCGACCGCCGCAAGGATGAGCGGGAGGCACGCTTGAAGCGGCTGGTGCAGGCCGGTGGGCCCCGAGAATATTAAAATTATATCCCCCTCTTGCTCTTTTTGGGAACAGGGGGGGGGGTACCCCCGCCAGGTTACAATATTCATTTTCATTTTGGGGGGGGGGGGGGGGGGGGGGGAAGGGGCGACTATAGCAAAACTGGGATCGGGACGTTCAAGGGTCGATAATTTCATTTATTCGTGTCTGCGTCCTAATTCAATATATATATATATATATATATATATATATATATCTATCGGATTGGAAATAGTGAAGGAGAGGGATAACAGAACACCAAGACAGAGAGTGGGAGAGCGAGAAGGAAGCAGGCTTTGCACATGTGTGAGCTTTGCTGTTTGTGCATGCTCACGATCTCAGGCATTTTGCCTCAGGGTGTATGGATGTGCATGCATGGATCCCCGAGATTCCCTGAGTCCCTACCTGCTATCTCGCGAAGCCGCACATGCACAACTCGGGAAACCACTAACCATTGTATTTATCAGTAAGAAATGAAGCCACTAGGACGGCAGTGGGGGAAGAGTCGGTAAGCCACCTTGTCGGCAGGGGTTGTACTAGAACTTATTTATAAGATTCGATCTTAAGCCACTATGACGGCATAGGGGGCGGGGTTGATAAGCCATATGTTTGGCACTGGGTTTTATTACTGCAGCTCAAGCATAGAAGATCATAGAAGCACATCCGCATACACCACGATGCCATGGGCATGCTGGTACAGATCGTACGGGGGCACACGACATGAGTGCCAGGGCCTCATCTCTGATCGGGTCGCTACTTTCCGACTAGTCGCACTATGCGTGTGTTTCCTGCTCTTGTCCATGCTGAGACCAATTCCAGTTTTCGGCGCCTGGTGTGCAGACGGAAGTCTTTCGGTCGAAGAAGCAGGCAGGGATCGGGATTGTTCGTGATCGATTGTTCTGCTTGCTCCGTGGCGGTAGGCTGATCGCTGGGCCCGGGACAACCATCATCCCCAGGCGCTGGGGTCATTCTCTCCCTTCATGTTTCGTTTCCCCTGTATCTGGTGCAGGTGCCTGAGCAGCTCAAGGTGGATGCGAAGGCATCCACCGCCGATGGCGACTTTGGCTTCGCTCAGGAGGCAGACCTCTGACACGTAGCGTGCAACCCTAAGTCTTGAACCTTCAACTTGAAAGCCCCGCTGCCACCACGAAGGCTGATGTTCCGGCTGAGGATCCGGTGACACCGGCCGAGGCCGAGACGGAACATGGTCGTTGAGATTTCGGGGCTTGCGGGGTTTGTGACCTTGGGGGTTCGACTTTGCTGTTGATGCAGGAGTCCTCGCAAGCACTGGTACCGGTGGTCGGGGCCTTGAATTCCTTTGGTGCATTTCCGCCCTTGACCCCGAAGCCAGACCCTAATGGCCAGGCGACGGCGATTGGAGCCACCGGCTCTGCTGCACTTCCTGAAGTTGCGGAGGCATGGGGTTGCCTGTGTTGGGTTCGGCTTTGCCTGCTTTGCTGGTGCTGCTCTCCTTTCGTATTTGGCAGGCTTCTGTGGATGGAGAGCCGGCAACACCATTGCAGATGGTCGGGGCCCGACTTCCTCGGATGGGTGTGCGTTTGGAGTTCCGGGATTGGCGTTCTGGCTGATTGGGCCATGACAAGGGTGAGCACTCATGCGTTTCGGGGTTGAGTGATCCGGTGCCTCCTTTGCAGGTTCCTGCTGGCCGTGGCGATATTCAGCCAGATGCTTCCGTGGAGGAGGCAGGGGAGGGCTTGCGTGGTTGTGACGAGCAGTGCGAAGCCAATCGAAGCAGCCAAGAAGCAGCCGACCAATCACTTCACCAACACGCCAGGATCCT